CAAGAGTTTGAGGTTTCTGTGAGCTGCAATGCCAGGGCATTCTACCAAGGGTGACAAAGTGAGACTCTGTCTCAAAAATTAAAAAAAAAAAAAAAAAAGATAAAAATAATTAAAAGTACACTAAGGACTGGGCTGTTTGAGAAAGGAAGTTGAATACAGGGGAGAAAAATACAACTGCCTCTAGCAGAGGCTATTTTGAGAGGCCGTAGACCCCAGGCTGCCTTGGGAATCATTATCAGCCTCTTGGCTTCATCCTTGGCCTGCAGCCAATTTACTTCCTAGTGAGACTTCTGTATATTTATCTTCTTTAAAATTCAGTTCAACTGCTGAGAAGTTTGGAGAAAGGACACAGTTAATTGAAATCCATATCTCATCTTAGATGAGTTAATTAACTCCTTTGTGCCTCAGTTTCCTTTTCTACAAAATGTAAAGAATAATGACAGATACTATAGAGGCTTTTTTGTGAATATTAAATGAGCTAATGTAAGTAAAGCTTTTAGAGCAGTTTCTGGCACTTTATAAGTTCTAGATAAATGTGAGTTATCAATACCCACATTATATTAATGAACAATGCTGTGAGTTCAATACTTCATACTTCTGCAGTTGGGTCTTTCAGCATAGTCAAGGAATTTACATTTCTCTTCCAATAAATTCTATCAGTTGGCTTAGAATCGTTTTTCTAAAACTGGTGGAAATTTTTTTTGACTAGATTCTATCATCCAGCATGTAGGTTATTATCTCTGATTTATTATGGGATACTACTGGAGTTCCCCCATCCTTGTAACTGTTGATTCTACTATATTTAACAAACTTTTGTTGACTCTACTATATCTAACAAACTGATGAAAGGCCTACTAGGTGCTGTGTTTCTGAATACATGTGAGTGTTTAAGGCAGGGATAGAATCCTCTTGTTAACAGAATTTCTTCTTAGTAGGTCCTTGGTCTCAAGGATTTGAACAATGAACCCATGGATCAAAGATCAATGGTAATGATACTGGAATTTCTTTCTTTCTTTTTTCTTTTTTTTTTTTTTTTGAGACAGACCCTCAAGCTGTCCCCAGGGGTAGAGTGCTGTGACATCACAGCTCACAGCAACCTCCAACTTCTGGGCTCAAGCAAGTCTCCTGCCTCCGCCTCCCAAGTAGCTGGGACCACAGGTGCCCGCCACAACGCCTGGCTATTTTTTTTTTTTTTTGGTTGTGGCCAACATTGTTGTTTTGTGGGCCCGGGCTGGGTTCGAACCTGCCACCTTAGGTGTATGTGGTTGGCGCCTTAGCAACTTGAGCCACAGGCACCAAGCTGATACTGGAATTTCATCTTCAGTAGGTTCTTGGTCTCTGGGATTTGAAGAATGAATCCGTGGACCACAGATCAGTGGTAAGACAGGATTTATTTACAGAAAAGAATATAAAAACACCTAAGTTCTTGGAAGGGAGAAAAAACCCAAGTTGGGAGAGAAGAGCTTAACAGCTCTCTGTCTGTCTGTCTCTACCTGGGCTCTTTGTCTAGGAATATATATTCCCATGGGGCCTTCTATGTAGTTACATTTAGTGGGGCTCTATAGTTACATTTGGTGAGTCTGAGAACCTCTGTAGTTACATTTAGTGTGTCTGGGACCCTCTATAGTTACATTTAGCGTGTCTGGCACCCTCAGTAGTTACATTTAGAGTGTCTGGCACCCTCAGTAGTTACATTTAGGGTGTCTGGGATCCTCTATAGTTACATTTAGCGTGTCTGGCACCCTCAGTAGTTACATTTAGCGCGTCTGGCACCCTTAGTAGTTACATTTAGGGTGTCTGAGACCCTCTGTAGTTACATTTAGCGAGTCTGGGACATGTCTGGACCTGTCTGAGTATTGAATGACTGGCTACAATCCCTTTCATTTCCTCCCTTTCATGTAAGCCTAGGAAACTTACATGAAATTGATCAGGTCTATGAAATGGGGTTCCCTGTGCAGCCCTAAGTGCAAGGGGAGGAAAACCTAAGGTGTTGGTGTCTTCTCCTCAGCAGCTGTCTGGCCCCTCCTGCGGCCCGCTGCCTACCCTCCAGCCCACAGTTTCCTCTGCTCACTGCCACCGCACCAATACCCGTCCAACCCCCACCAGCTCCACTGAGCTGGCTGAGACCCCACTTGTCCTCTATCAGTAAAACAGGATTTTTATTAGACAGAAAGGAATACAGAAGGAGTGAAAAAGCAAGCACCAGAGCTCTGGCAAAGGGGAAGACCTTAGTCAGAAGTCTACCCCTGGGTCCTCTGTCTAGGAGTATATATCGTCTGGAGAATAACATTTTGCCAAGATTTGGTAGGTGGAAAAATGTCCTTTCAAAGTTGAATGCAGTCCCTCCCCTGGGGCAAGGTTATTAGGTCTTTGCGATTTTGTCTCAGGCAAGGGATTGGGGGGTGTGCTCCCTACTCAAGGTGGAAGCACCCCCCCGCCCAAAGTCTCAGGCTGTTTTGTTCATGATCTTGTTAGAGCCCAGAGGGTGTGGCCTGGAAAAGGCAGCCTATTTGTGCCTGGGAATTGGGTCTGATTTTCAAGCTCCCCTGGGCCTAGAGAAAGGGGGAATCCCTGTCTAGTCCTAAGTGGGGGAATCCTGTATCACCCTCATCTCCAAGATGCATGTAGTTTTTAATAAAGGATATATGTTGAACTCAACTTTCAGTAAGAGTTGGAGCTGGGCCAAGATAAAGAGAGGAACTTTGGCTGTGGGCAAAGTTTGAAAGAACCATTTGTAGCCTTGAAGGCCCTTGGTAGGATATTAGAAGGATCTAGCTTGGTACAGTTTTGGTTACAGAAATTTATCTTGCAGAAATGCATACTAGATGGAAAGGTTAGTTTTAATTTATCTTACTGCTTAAAATTTTAAAATATTTAAATATATCATATCTTAAGGGCATGAACAGACTGAGGATAGCTTTAACAAAAATAACAATGACAACTGTAACAAAAAATAGCTGGGCATTGTGGTGGGTGTCTGTAGTCCCAGCTACTTGGGAGGCTGAGGCAAGAGAATCGCTTAAGACCAGGAGTTTGAGATTGCTGTGAGCTGTGATGCCATAGCACTCTACTGAGGGCAACGTAGTGGGACTCTGTCTCAAAACAAACAAACAAAAAAAAAAACCAGGGCTGCCTGAGAAGCTTCAATAAAATCATATATAGGACAAATCACAAGAAGCCCTATTTTATGGAGTGAGTACTAAGAGTTGATGCAGCCAAAAAGCATCTGGTAGCTTTAAAACTATTTCAAATTCACTTATAGTAGGGGTTCTACTCTGAGAATACAAGACTTGTGGCTAGATGACTGCAAAAGACAATCTTCTGAGTCAATAGATTTTAAGGCTTTTAGGGAAGTTAGACTACATAATGGAAGAAGGAAGTACTCTTGATACTCAGGGGTGACATAGAAGAGCAGAAAGAGTTTTTGGTAGCCAAGCGCCTACATAAAGCAATATCCAGAAAGGACCAAGGCCTTGGACCTTTTCTATCCTAGACAGGAAGCATTTCAGGAGAGGACTGAGCAGGACATACAGTCCCTAGTGACTGTGACTCTACTATACCTAAGGTTGCAGTGGATCTATGTAACACAGAAGAATGTCACAATGCATGTGGTTGTACATGAAGTCATTTCATAATGTTTTGTTTCCTGGAAGATGAAGGAATTGGAACCTACGGTTTCTTAATGATTGTCTAGAATCTTAAGAATCCATCAGGGATGACAGTCATTCCTCCTCTCCTAAACATCACGTGGCTGCTGTCAGAAGCAGAACTGACTAAGGGTCTGAAACAGTTTGCCAACTTTTAGAAACTTAAGCTGATAAGGAAGCTGGGGTAACTCCAAAGAGGCTGCAAGGAGCCACAGTTCATGCATTCAGCCAACTTGGGAGTCTCCCTCCAGTATTCCAGGCACTGGACGCAGGGCTGGAAATGCGAAACGAAATTGTGACAAGGTCTGCTGGGGAGAGCCTTGTCAGAGCAGAAAAGAACAAGAAAAGTGCCTGTAGGAGGCCTAATTTGGTGCTTAAGGCAATATAAAGGTGGGGCAGCTACGTCAGCCCGAGGTGCCCTTAAGCAGAACAGAAAGTAAGAATCACAGCTTATCTCCTTTCTAAACAGGGCAACAGGATTGTAGGAGCTTTCCCTTGACTGGGAAAAGGGTGACTTTTGAAAACAAGCCAAACAGATATCCATCTTATAGGAAGACACTGGAACGTGCCAGTTGGTTCTGCCAATTTTTTAATGAACAGAAATACCTAGGAGGGAAGAACTGGTGAGTCTGGAAGTGGAAGAAGGCGCTCAAAGGGGCTGTGTTTCATAAACGGCGCCCCAGAAGGGTTGAACTAGTTCGGTCTGGAGGAAAAAGACGCAGGAAGTAAGGGAAGTGGAGGGTGCATGTCTGGAATAAATTCAAGGTTTTTACCATCTTGTCTGATGTGGCAACAGGGCAAGATTTGTTCGTTTTATTTATTTATTTTTTAATTTTTACAGATTTTTCTTTTCCGCCCTTTTCCCCTCCCAGCCACTCCGGTTTGGGTTTTCCATATGACTCATAATTCCTCTCGAAAGTGGAGTCGAATTCATAAAAGTGGTGGAGGGGGGTGGTGGGAAGGCTGGGAGCCCCAGGGAGTCTTCACTACCTACACTGCCACTCAGCTCGCGGCGCGAGTGGAGGTCGGCGGTGGGGAGACCAGCTTGCAGCCGGGATGGCGGATACTATTCAAGCCCCGGCGGCCCACGGCCGGGCCGGGTGACCAGGCGGCGGGCACGGGAGGGTCTGCGGCGGGCGGGCGGGCGGGCGG